GTGAAAAAAGTTTTGGCCAAAGTTATTTTTTTATTAGGAAGTCAAGCTAATGAATCACAAGAATGTACATGTAAAATATGAAAACTACATCCTCATGAAAAAAAATGTTGAAAATTATTAAAGATTAAACCTCAAGGCATTAAGGTAAGAGAATCTGCACAATTTATTTATACTTCAGACGAATTCCAGTTAAACACATAATATTGTCCACTCTGCATCCATGGTCAGTACTCAAAATTTAAGGAACATGTACTGAGTATTTTCTTGATGGATTAACAGAAATGGAATTACTCTAATGAAAGAAAATCTTCCAAAAACAATAACTTTTCCTTAAAGAACTTTTAGAAAAGAATATTCTTTGGGTCCTTTAAAAAATGTTTGATGTAATCATTTATCTTTGTAATAACTTTGACATGCAACTCTGAACCCCTACCTGCATAATTTTGACTTACTTTTTTTTGTCCCCCGCTTGAAAAGTGGGGGATATTAATTTGGGTTTGTCCGTCCGTCCGTCCGTCCGTCCGTCTGTCCGTCCGTCCGTCCGTCCGTCTTTCTGTCTGTCTGTAACGCTTTCGTTTCCACACGATATCTCGAGAACCCTTTGAGCTTTTGCAATGAAATTTAGCATAGCAACTCCCTATGGACTAAAGAAGACCCCTATTGATTTTGAGGTCAAAAGGTCAAAGGTCAAGGTCATAAATAAGCAAATTCTGTCTGTTAAAACACTTTCGTTTCCACACGATATCTCTAGAACCATTTGAGCTATCGCAATGAAATTTTACATAACAACTCCCTGTGGCCTAAAGAAGACCCCTAATGATTTTGAGGTCAAAAGGTCAAAGTTCAAGGTCGTAAATTTATACATTCTGTCTGTGTGTAACACTATCATTTCCGGGCGATATTTCAAGAAGATTTTGAGCTTATGCAATGTAATTTTATACCAAAACTCCCTAGGACGTCTCTCGCCCCTCTCAAAGTGCCCCGCCCCGTTTGGTTTATTAGTATTTGTAGTATTACATGTCGCTATTTTTAGCGCAGGGGCATGAGGAGAGTTATTGCGTATAAAACAGGTTCTCGGCGGACTTTATGTTCTTATTACATCTATTATAACTGTTTAATAAAGGCTAAATAAATCAAACACCATGGATTGTGTAAAATTTTGAGAATACCGAACATGAAAACATGAATATATACATGTATGTGACTTCAGTTCTGCATATACTTCACTCCGAGTAAAGCGACTCCGTGGTGTAGTAGTTATGTCTCTCGCTTCAAACGTGAGAGGTCCCAGGATCGAAACTCGGTCGAACTTTTCTTTTTTTTTTTTTTAAATACTTTTTTTTTACTAAATGATAGTATTCAGCATGTGAAATGAAAAATTTATGAGGTTATAAAATCATCATTACAGTGTGATAAATATTCCATATAAAAAAATCTTCTGTATACATAATAAAGAATAAGCAATCAAATCTTTATATGCATATTGACATACATGTATTTTATTTCCTTCAGTATACATGTATACATTTAATAATTCTACAAATTCAGTCAGGGGGAGCCGACTTTTTCCCTAAGCGGGGGACACGAATTCTCTGAATTAGCTTGTTTTTTCAAATCCCCATTTCCTACCAATCATGTATTACATGCAGTACATGTAGAATACAGAGTTTGTCCTAGTTTATCTGTATTAACTTTTTCTTATGTAGTCTTACTTGTTTGGAACTTCAGAAAAAATCTCTCTGACCCACTGTTCCAGCTTGTCAAGGCTAACTGTTCAATGAAGAAAAATCAAGCTAGAGAAAATGACCCTTTCAGCAACCAACATATAATAAATTAAATTATGTCACAATAAAATTTATGCACTGGCAACTTTTTGTCATTATTTACAAAATACTGTGAAATAATTTTGTTGTTTTTGAGGTATGAAGAGACCATCAAATTTTATGTCCATCTCAAAATGTAATATTTCAAATATATTTCAACTCAATTCATCCAGAAAACAAATCCAAAGCTAACCCCTACACAGTTTCCAGAATTGTTGTACGTGCAAACTATGTGTTGGATTTACCCAGTGTGAACAAAAACATACCATTTAATAAACATACATAGCTATGAATATCTTATATGTCCAGAAAAATAGATTTATTCTATAAAAGAAGTTTTGAAAGAAAGCACCAAACCTTTTGACTGAACAGCTAGGGTCATAAACTGAGCTGAATACATTTCATGACAAAAGTTTTTTAAGTTTCCATACACATCTATTCCATTCTGCTGGGGAACTGTCTTCAACGAATCTATGCTTCCTGTAAATGCACCAACATTCAATTGATTGTGCTTATTGTATAATTATGTATCTTAATCTTAATCTTAATAAGATGCATTTGTTACATTAATTTTTCTTATATTGCAATGAAAACAAGCTAATTCAGAGAATTTGTGTCCCCCGCTTAGGGAAAAAGTAAATCATGCGAAGTTTGGGGGGGGGGGGGTGTCCCCTTGACTGAATTTGTAGAATTATTAATGTATACCTGTATACTGAAGTAAATAAAATATGCCAATATGGATAATTTATAAAGATTTGATTACTTATTCTTTATTATGTGTGTAGAAGATTCTTATATGAAATATTTATCACACTGATTTTATAACTTTGTACAAGCCAGGCCTCATATATTTTTCATTTCACATGCTGTATACTATCATTTAGTAAAAAAAAAAAAGGTAATTCGAAAAAAAAAAAAAATTGGATCGTCAGAGATGCGAACCCGGGCCCTCTCCCATATGAAGCGATCAAGAGACATATCACTAGACCACAGAACTGCTTTAAACTAACATAATTTATATGGAAAGATGAACTCCAATGCATGTACATTTTCACTTTGGATTATGTCAAAATTTTACCCAATGCATGGTGTTTAATTTAACCTTTAATAAACAGTTCTAATAGATGTAATAAGAATAAGAAAGTCCATCGAGAACCTGTTTTATACGTAATAACTCTCCTCATGCCCCTGTGCTAAAAATATCGACATGTACCTGGGTACTACAATAAATACTAATAAAACAAATGGGACGGGACACTTTGAGAAGGGTAAGAGAAGTCTTAAGGAGTTTTGGTATACAATTACATTGCAAAAGCTCAAAATTTTCTTGAAATATCGCCTGGTAAGGATAGTGTTTCATATACAGAATGTATAAATTTAAGACCTTGAACTTTGACCTATTGACCTCAAAATCCATAGGGGTCTTCCTTAGGCCACAGGGAGTTGTTATGTAAAATTTCATTGCAAAAGCTCCAAGGGTTCTCGAGATATCGTGTGGAAATGAAAGTGTTATTACAGACAGAATTTGAGAATTTATATCTTTGACCTTTGACCTCAAAATCAATAGGGTTTCTCTTTAGTCCATAGGGAGTTGATATGCAAAATTTCACTGCGAAAGCTCAAAGGGTTCTCGAGATATCGTGTGGAAATAAAAGCGTTACAGACAGACAGAATGATGGACGGACGGACAAACCCAAATCAATATCCACCACTTTTCAAGTGGGGGACAAAAAATTAGGGATGAATTACCAGTGAAGAATTTCCCCATTGGGTGCCCCTCCTTTGCCAGAGATCCATACAGCATACACATTCTTTCATCATCACTTGGAAGGCTCATCTGGTATTCTAAGGAACAGAAAATATAGTATGCATATCACACAGGGTATGACACTGTTAAACCCCCTACATGTTGTGCATGGGGATTCAATGTTACATTGTACTTGTCATTAATAAATAGCATTTTCTTTGGTAGAACACATGAAATGAAAGCATATAAATTTGGAAAAATAACAATTTTCAATAACCACAAACTTGACATGGACATCGACACTGCAGACCTAAACTCTCAAACAGTCTAATCATTCCCTACTTTTCCCTCATCCTTAGTATTTATCCCCTGCGCCCCCTTTCCTCTACACCTCCCTTATCCTCTATAATTATTCCTTATCTCCTAAATCTTGTATATTTTCTGATATCCACCTTCATTTTCCTTTTCCTCTGTAATCTTTCCTACTATCCTCCTAAATTCCCCTCTTTTTCTGTAAATATTCCCAATATCCACCTAAATTTCCCTCATTTTAAACATTCCTTTCACCTAATTTTACTTCATCCCCAAATCTTTCCAATCCCTCCCTAAAATGACTCCCATCCACCTTTTGGGATGCCTCAGCCAGCCTATCCTATTCTTTAACTAGTCTTCCCTTTCCCTAGTATTACTCTCTTCCCATTTACTTGCAATTCATTCCATCCATCTGTCCCTCTTCTAGGACAGTTTATTCAGATCAGCTGATGTGATAGGCAGTGCAGATCACAAAGGGCAATCAAAGTTTTAACACCACTGTCTAAATAGACAACTCACCACTGGCCACTGCCTGTATAGACAACTCACCACTACCCACTGCCTGAATATACAACTCACCACTGTAAACTTACTGAATAGACAACTCACCACTGTCCACTGCCTAAATAGACAACTCACCACTGTCCACTGCCTGAATAGACAACTCACCACTGTCTACTGCCTGAATTTCTCTGTCTACAGAATCCTGTCTCAGTAATGGAGTAGTGAAAAACTGGGCAAAGATGTCTAAAGCTTGGTGGAAGTACTTTTGTTCAACATCAAAATGAAAGGAAGTCTGGAAAAATTAAAGATTGTGTTAATAATATTCTCCATTTCATAAAGTTATTGATAGGCAAAGTTATGAATTCTTTGTTTAATACCCTTTCACAATCAGTCCATGCATTGGTGAAGCCCCCATGCTTCCCAAGGAAATCATCCAATTTATTTTCTTGTGGATATTTTTTGCTCCCCATGAAAACCACTGAAAAATACCATGTAATAAATACATTAAAATAAAAAAAATCTATTGAGTGCACTGATTATACGTGCAAGTATACATACACCTGTATCTAATTTAAGCATCTAAAACTAGCATTGGAAGAATTCACAAACTTCAGAAACGAGCTGCTAGAATTATTCTTGATGCAGCACCTGATGAGTCATCAAAACCATTGTTTGAAAAACTGGGATGGCTAACTGTGTTTTGTTTGAATTATCATGCTACATAAGTGTATTTTGTTGAACAAACTTTTTATGGTATGAGCCCTGCCTGAATATCTTCAGGATCTTTTTGTTTTTCATAGCCATGATTCTTATTCCTTATGTTCAGAATTAAATTATCATCTTCATTTACCAAAACAATGAACAATTCTATTTTCTTATTCTTTTCAACATTCAGGTGTTAATTTATGGAATAACCTACCATTATATGTAAAATTGTCACCAACTTAAGCTATTTTTAGACCAAATGTAGAAAAAATTATAATTAGCCAACGTCTATAAATAAATGTTTGTATACCCGGGTATGTATGATTATTACTATTGTTTAAAACAATGTCTACTGGACAATTATTATTGACTTTTTTATTTTGAGTCTTTATTCATTAGCTGTAAATTACATTTAATTATTCATGAATTAACGGATTCTACATGTCTTATCTGTGATTGTATCATTTTTTATGAAATATGTTGTTTGGAATAAGAAGGCCCCAGGGAGGAATAGTGCCTTGTACTAATCGGGTTACCTTCTCTCAATAAAGCCTTATTATTATTATTATTATGCAAGAGGCCTAATCATGTTCCCTGGGTCATGAATTTCACATTTGGCAAAAAACTCACAATTTTAATTTTCAATTATACATAGATTCTAACAATATTCATAATATATCCCATAATTGATTAAATCATTCCATAGAAGAAGGAAGTTGAAATTTTCTAACATTTATGATTGAAAGATCCAGGACTGACCAGAGGCCCAAAATCAATATCAACAGGTCACCTAGGTGACTCTAGAATTTGTGAAATATTCATGAATGTTAGAACTCAATATTTTCAAGTACATTTCAATTCATGCTGGTCATGAAACTGCACTTGCAAATCTGCTCATTTATATACAGAGACAAACACTTTACTTACTATGTTCCAAGAAATGAGCTAATCCAGGGATATTGGGTGGATCCGAGAAGCTTCCATTGGATATACAAAGTGCTGCTGCTGACTGTTAGACACAAAATAAACTAATCTCAAAAGTAATATCTTATTGATTTTCAAAAAAATTACTATTCATTCTAAATGACTAAATTGCAGAGAAACCAATAGATGGTGATTTTTTTTTCTATAGCTTTCAATATTAAGCTATTTTTGATAAGCAACAGTTTTACAATCTGAGCTCTATCTTGTGTTTCAACATTTTTTGTTTAAATATGTTGAATATAATCCAAGATACTAACCTTCTTTTCTCCCCCTTCCTCTTTTCCACATTCATCTTCCTCCTCCATTTCTTCCTCATGATGATCTTCCTCCTCCTCTTCATTCCCATCTTGTTCCTCATCCTCATCATCCCAAGGTGCTTCTTCTGCCTCCTCCTCTCCCTCCAGTAAGTCTGATATCAAGATGGCTTGTAAACCATTGTCAAGGTTAATCCATCTGAAAAATACACTCTCTGATTGAGAAGTTATAAAAATTCTTACTTCAGAGTAACCAAATAAGATTTAAGGCGATGGCTAGATTCATAGTAGATTGTGTGACATCACAACTTAGGAATAGGAGATATCTGTGCTTGTTGAAGCAGATGGATAAACATTATCATGATCATTGTTATTACTCAGAATAGAAATTACAACTGTATGCATGGTCAGTAAACAGCAACACAGATATGGATGACTAATCAGAAAATGTGGTTAAAGTAAAACAACAGTTTATTGGTGGGGTCTTGTCTAAGCTGTCAAATGAGAACATGCATAATTTGCTTATTAGGAAAGACAAAATGCACTCAACTTGAAGTAATGTGGACATTATTAAAGCAATTTCATATCAAACATCGTACACTTTTCAGTAATTCACTTACTTTTTACAATTTTTAAACTTCTTTTTACCTGTAATTTCTTTTGTCATTTTCTGATTTCACAATATTTATCGGATGCTTCATTCTGACGCTGTAACTTCTTGTAGATCGAACAAGCTCGGAAGACCTCTTAGAAGCGTTAAATTTCGGATATTTGTTTTGCACCCTATTGAAAAAATCTAAACACCTAATAAAGCACCTTTTCATGTGTCGCCTTTATTGACACATGTTTCAATTTTAATTTGTTCAATGTTGATTGCAAACTTCTTTTTCATCATTTAACTCTAGCATAAGAAAACACTCAGACGATCAAGACACAAGGTGATATGTAAAAGTTTAGTACGATACATGACGAGCATTCCGGAATGAGAGTGAAAGTCTTGCTCAAGTTTAGCATGTTTAGATGTAAATTGATTTGTATCTTTTCAAACTTATTTAATATAGTCCTATATGAAAAATTGCCTATATAACATTATTTAGATAAACATTTTTATACCCTATCTTTTCGAATCTTATATTAAGTCTTTTTACAGGGAGGATGCATGATATGTGAAAAGGTGTACTTGCCAAATGATGGTAGGAAACCATTTTTTGGTTAAATTTACAATACAGACTACAGAGTGTTAAACTGGTATATATATCCATTTATGTCTCTGCTTTAACGGACAATTTTTTTTTTCATAATAAATATTTATCTTATTATAAATAGGCATTTTTCGTTATTTTTCTGACTGCGAAATGATTTATTTTCAGTGTGACTCAACAGAAACACCTCCAAGAACTTACCTGGATTCTGTCACTGCCAGATTTGAACAGCAATATTTAGAGAGGCAAAAGAAAGTGAGAATAGCAAAATTTTTATTACCAAGTAGTTCACCTAAAATGAAAGTTCAACTGCTGCCATGAGATTTTCAAATCCGCTCAGTAACACAATACGTTTGTCTGTTAAATAATGATTATGTTTTGGGCTTGGATGTACATTTTAATTCTACATTGATTTTATTGTTCAAATTGTGGCTAAGTAATAAAAACATGTACATGCAGTCAGTGGTTAAAATTAGGTTGGTTACCAGATAGTCAGATACACACAAATTTTCTTTTTGTTAACCTGGCATAAAACTATGATAGATTACTTCAATGCAAACAGGAGACAAGCTTTAAGCATGATAAGGTGTTGCGGTCAGACGGATTTGATCGCCATTGGCCAGACAGCTCAGTTGGTAGAGCACTGGACCGGAGTTTCAGGGGGCCCAGGTTCGAATCCTGGTCTATTCTGCATTTTCTCCTCTCCTGTTACATTTAGTGCCATGCCATGCCTTGGAATTGACAGGTGAAAAACCTGCCAGGGATGAACCTGGGTTGGGGTCTTTGGAAGGCCAAAGACATTTAAGGAGGTCCTCAGGAATGTGGCGGTCAGTTGGGTTTGATCGCTGGTGCCCAGATAGCTCAGTTGGTAGGGCACCTGACCAGAGTTTCAGGGGGCCGAGGTTTGAATCCCGGTCTGTTCCGCTGCATTTTCTCTTCTCCTGTTACAAAGGTATAATGAACAGGAATCCTTTACCTTAAATGTTATATTCAAGTCATATAAAGTCGAACTTACTGTCGAAAGTGAGACCAAGATAGTCATAAGCTTAGATTTCTTTTTTACTCAAGTAACTAGCAAGGCCTGTAGGCTTCATGTTTATTCTTGAAAGTATATGCTATACTCTGAATTCATTGATATAGTGGACTTTTTTTTCCTCATCCAATGCATTGAGGAAAAATGCTTTTAAGCCATTTCTGGCAGATTTTATACTTTTAAGTGCTTCTGTTGCAGTGTAAATAATATCAATTTTATTATTATATTATAGATAGAGAAAAAGAAATGCCAGAGAGAAGTGGAGTTGGCCCACAGTCGATATTTGAAGCAGAATGTTGTGGATTCCCAGGTGATGGGGCATGCCAGTTTTGTGGTGGGAACTTGGTCTAAAAAACATGGTAGGCAAGAAAATTTAAGTTTTGAAAAGTGGTCAGTCTTTCTTGTTAGAATTTAACATGTAATTTCATGAGAAAGAAAGATTGCTCATGAAATTTTCATTCTAACATTACATTTATCATAAATTAAGAATATTACATACATGTATGTAACAGAATTAATAACATTATTTTTCAACATAAGTAATGGACAAAAAGCTGGTATTGCAAAAATTTGGTGATTAGCATCCATGCAGACTCCTTAAGTAATGTGAAGTGAAATGTAAGCATTTTAATTAAATGAATTGTGTACAAAAAGAATGAATTTGTAAATAAGTAAAATTACCTAGAATTTGTAACAAAAATTTAAAAATCTTTAAATCATTTCCTTAATTTTGCATATATGCATTTGTTACCATGATTACAGATTGTGTCATTTATATCCTAATTAGAAAAAAAACCTGAATATTAAGGAAAAAAAATCTATGTTTCAAAAATTCAATTGTTACAATTTACCATAAATGAATTAAGCAATGCAACATTTAGAAATTACATTGTCAATGTACAGTCTATAATACCTGGTATCTTCCCATTCTCTTTTAATCAAGGAGACATAGAAAAGAAATGGAAAATTAAAGACAAGAGGGAAAAGCAAAGAATTGATGCCCGGTTTTCTCCTTATAGAAGTTCACCTTCCAATCACAGGAGGCAAAGTATCATACAGAAAAAAAGAACTGGTACTCAATCACAAAACTTGGTGGAAAATCACAGGCAACAAACACCAGCATCTAACTCCCCTCCTGCAGTAATTTCATTGGATGACAGCCTGGAGGAAGTGAAGATGATTGGACGGGATGAACATATCGCCTGTCCTGTTCTGTATTGTGAAGTTAAGTTCACTTCCCAAAATAAACTGGAGCAACATATGAGAGACTTTGATCATTCTCCCATTAATCCTTGCTCAGAGAATCTGGACGGAACATTGGCAGGAATAAAGGAGTACACATGTATTAACTGTGGTGCTAACTTTGAGGTAAGTACACTATACATTTCAATATATAGTGTTAAAGTTCTAAGTAAAGTTAATCTTATCTTTTCCCTTGATTGATAAATATATGTATTTAAATTGATGAGACAGAGTCAATTAATGCTTTAACTTTTCATTTCTTAAAAGGTCTTTAAAATGATGTTCCAGTAAGACATTCTTGAAATTTATTTCTTATTTTAAACCTTTTCTTATTAATTAAAGAATTAAATTCTTTTTTGATTCAATTGCCTGGGAGTAACAATATGGCAAGTAAAATTAAATATTGAGTGAAAGTAAAATATGAGGAGTAGATTCATTACAAAATGCAATAAAGTTCACAGCAAGTGTGTGAAGATCGTCACATGTTGTACATTTTAATTTCTGGATACAAGATTAAAATATCAAATACAAAAAAGAACCCAATAATGAGGTTGATGACATACCCACCCCAGGTTAAACTTTCTACAGCTTTTTATACCTAAAAAATAGTATGAAGTTGGCACTAACCAAGGTAATTTGGCAGCAACTGAAAATGCTTAAATGAGGAGTCTTAACAACAAGTCACATGTTAAGTACAATTTACAAGAGAGACAGACTTTGTATTCCTTTGGAATAAATAATCTTGTAGTGGATCTATGCACCTAAATATAGCTAATCCCTATTGCAGTTCTTTCTGTAATTAGACGTCATTCATTTGGATTAGACGAGAGATTTGACAGGTTGTTTATTTCCCATTCACAAGTCCAATGTTAGGATTTAAACCATAGAGGAATAAGATTAATTCATAATCTTATAATCCGTTTTAGTTTGACATTGAATTCCCTTGCAACATCAATGGTGAAAAATGAGCACATGTACAATGTACTGTAGAATTTATTGACTTAATGTTACACTTGTGTTGTTATGCAAATTGATGTATATCCATTGCATAAAAACTTCATAAAAAGGGGTCAAGGCAACAAAATGTACGAAAAGAATTATGAGTTACTAAATCTTAATAATGCAAAGTTTAAAAATGAGGTTGGAAGTTCAGCACTTTAGATTTAAATTTAAAATCTTTTACCTATATCCCATGTGTAGGTTTATAAATACATGTATTTAAAACATTTTAATATTTTTTTCTCATTCTACTTGAGTTAGAGATTAAGTTAAAAATAGATTTTTTTGAATTTATTGCAATTAAATACCTGGCCGCAGCAACTGCTGAAAATCATGATTTCGTATACTTTGTAATGATCTGTAATTAAAATGATAACATTTCAGAATCGGGAGGGGTGGGATAATCACCAGGATTTGGAGGGGCCCTGCTCCTCCCCCCAACTCCTGACAGTGACTGGGTATCTCTGTCCCAGGACTCTCAGTATCTTCGCCTCCAAGAAAAAGTGTGCAGCCAGCATCCAAAGGGGAACTTCAGACATTAAATTCCCATTTAAGGGTATGGGACAATTTTTTTTTAAATCTGTATTTCAAAAAGTTTATTAGATTCAGTTATGTAGTATTTTTCAAATACAGTTAAACTTTGTCATCAAGTACTCAAAGGCACCAAGAAAAAAATTCAAGATATCCAAGGATCTGAGATATCAAGGGTAAAATACTTAAAGAATTAGTATTTGGGATATCCACATCACTCTGATAAATCCACTGTATTTGAGATATTAGTGTTTTAGATACCAAAATTCTGTATGTTTTGATTTAACACAATTTATTTTTGTAGGTGATGATGCAGTGACTTGTGGTTCAATTAAACCATGCCCAGTTTCCCAGATCTTCATTGACGACTTCACAACAAGGTGTAAGTCTTGTCCATTCAACATCTCATGTTTGGATTGTGGAGTGGAGATTTCTAATCATGAAAGTCTTCAGAACCATTTTACACTGACAGACCAATCCCATATACTCACTACCACAACTGCTTTTTCAAAGGTAACTTGAATTAGTAAATTTGATACATGTGAGACAACCCTAGCTCTCATATTTTGATTTGTAAGGAAAATAACCATATTTTTTTCTCCCACAAGGTTTTAAAATAGTTCAATTTTGTTTGTTAGAATACGCAAAAGGTATTTGTTGCAAACCTCCACCATAATCCTTGTTGAAAAGTTTGATATGATCTTTATTTACTGCAAAGATGTTTTATATCCATTTAGAATATTTTTTTTCAATTGTAGGAGGAGGTATTTTCAGAGTATATTACAGAATACTCTTCAAATTTTACCAATTTGCCAAAACCTGAAAATGCAGAATCCAAAATGAGAAAAGATACTTTTTCTAACTTTGTAAAATTTTTGTGCCATCTTTTGGAGAAGAACTTGTAAATCAAGGGATTATTGACATATAAAGACGTCATGTTGAACATGACTTTCTACATGTATATAAATTCAGAAGCATATGGTTTTTTTTAATTTGTTTGAATTTTTTCATTCCTCTTTTTCTTTCCATTACAAGATTAAAGACATTAATCTTACTCTGTCTTTGTTCACTGTATGCATACCCAAAATACATTTATTTCCATTGGGATTTTTTTTATTCAAAGGTTATTTCAGAGAAAATGTTCCAAGATATTTATGCCATTTTAAATCTGTAAGGAAAGCATCTTACGCCTTGAAATTTATACAAATATACACTTCAATAAAATATTGACTTTGTACATATTAAAAAATTGCAAGAAAAATGTAAGGCTGACTAACAAAATGGAAAAACCATTTTGAGGTTTATTCTCTTTTGTTAAAATACCCTCCGAGTTGCCTTGAATTACTAAGAAGACCCCCCCCCCCCATCTTCAATAAGGAAAAGTACCCCCATTTAAACTTTCCACATCCTACCAGGCTGTGCGATAAACAGTTTTTTTCCTCCCCACTTTCTTTTTTCAGTCTAGTCCGAGTGCTGAAAAACTCCAATACCTTTTTGGTATGGTACGAAGTTCGTGATAAAAAAACACGTAAGCATTATGCATTAAATTCAACAAGTATACTTTTATATGTTCAATATTGCATTGTTAACATTTCTTAAAAAATATCGACATAAACAAAAAAATCAAGATAGGTTAATCTCTGGCAAAGATTCTGGGCTGGTTGATATTCCCTCAGAAGAAGATGCAGGGGTAGAGGGGCGACTCGAGGAGGGGCGATTCTCCAGCAGTCTTTGGTTATAAAGGGGATCATTGTCCACTGGAATAGACGCGGGTCTATAGTTTTTACAAATAATCTGTGGAAGACATTTGCTGAGTACATACACATACTTAAATGGTGTCATTTTCTTCATATTCAAAGTCTGAAGTTCTTTCTTTGGCACATCAAAGTTTTGAATGATATTCACAGTATTGATGAATTTCGACTCTTGTCCGATGACATATGACGTCACCGGACGCCCCTCCTCGTTATTGAACGTAGAGCGAGAGGAATCGGAAGCAGACGAGTTCCGGCGATATCTCACAAGATCCCCGAAGACAATCTGTTTCCCTGAACTAATGTCTATATATTTAACGTTCGTCGTTTGCGATTTCTTTTGAACATATTTCTGTTTGAGAATACCTTTCAATGACTTGTCTACAATCATTTCAGACCTGCACTGTTGTTTCCAACCTTTATCCTTGCCGTTTTCATATTTTGTACGATTCAGTTTATCACTGTAATTTTTATGCTGTCGTGAAGAGACAGGCGGACTGTCTAACAGTTTGTTGTCCATTAGGCCGCTTTCGTTTTTCAGTTGAGATACACCACACCTAGCAGAATCCATCTTGTCTGGAGGGGGATGAGAGATAATCTTAGCAGTGCTGAAAAATCCAGCTTGGGTCATTTTCCGAACTTTAGACCAGTGCGTAGAGTCTTTGATATTGGAGGGACTCCGGGATGACGTTTGATTACGTCTGTTTTCACCGGAGAACGATTGTCCTTTGCCTTTTTTGCTGTTTTCTGCATCCTTAACATTCTTTGAAACATTGACTGTCGTCTGCTTAGTAAAGAAGCGGTCCTTAGTCATGTCGCGGATTTTGGACCAGTGGCTGTTGTCCTGTTTACTGAGATTGGCTTCTTCGTTGGGTCTGGGCCTACAGGAGAAACTCCTTTGGATGACTTTGGCCTCCACATCACCACCTTGTCGGGGTGTCTTTAGCTTTGCAGACGACAGCGGTAATGTCGGAATCGGTGTAGTTCCAGGACGACTCATTTTGAATTGGATTCACTTGAATATAAATACACTTTTGCTATAGCATTTCTTAGATTGTACTCGAGACTAGCTGTACATGTAAATGAATCAGAGTGGACCAGGCAGACCTTTTTATTAATTTTTTGGATTAATATGATCCTCTTGAAGGATTAACAATTACATGCAGAATTGCTTAATTCCCTAGGATTATGGAGTTACGGATTTAAAGCGCTATTTGTAGTCTAGGCCTTTTTGTGCAGAACAATGTCAAACACGAGCCAGTGTCCATGCCTTTGATTAGGAAAGGATTAAGGAAAAACATTTTGTTTTAACACCCTTTTACCTTGATGGAATAAGTACCCGCTTTATAGGATGGGTTGAATTAAAAGGTTTTAGTTAATGAAAAGAGACGAATCATTTTAATATATGATTTTATCCTGTTAAATACTTTTAATTTTAATAATATTTTTGTTTGTTCTTTGGAATTTCTTATGCGTAATTTATTCATTAAGAATGTTCAAAGCGACTTTAATACATTCATAGCTAGGATATGCAAACAGGTGCGTATACAGATCAATATGCCTAAAAGTCGAGACCTTTCCTTGGAATGGTGCTTGATCTCGACAGAACATTGCAATTTTAATTAGACTCATACGTTTTGAACACTACGAATATATTCAGTATTGAAACTATATATATATATCTGTAGAAAAAAAAATAAAACACAAGTCCTAACTAATCAGACCTAGTAAGTAGAAAAAAATGTATATGCTTCAAATCATGAAAAGGGTATAAGTAAAATAGAAATCTGTATGAAGTAAAAAAAAGAGAATTCTTTTTTTCACCGTACAATGTCCTATTTATATCCCTTGCACTTCGTTAGTGGGTGCAAGGGATCGTGGAACAAGACTAAGTACAAATGCAGGTTCTGTATTATTTCTCGAGGAACAAGATGTTTTATAATTTTCATAATGGGAGCGGAGAGGACCGAAAAGCTTCGGCTAGCGAAGATGACGTTTTTCATCAGATATGTAATTGAAAATTTCAAGTTTTCTAAGTCTAATTTAGTGAGTTTTTAAATTGTAAATTTTGAGTTTTCTGTGTGATTTGTGAAGTTTGGATAATTCTATTTTTTTCAAATTTAATTAAGTTTTATAAATATAATAAAGCAGTACACGTACTTGAAATCAACCTATAGTATGTTTTAACATTCTATAATGACCATCAATTTCAACCGTATATTTTGATTAATGTAAGAAGCCCATCCGATGACTGATTTTAGAGTTTAGTGCTAGCTCCATTATGACGTCATAATTGATTTCGACTTAATTTTTCCCGTACCCCTCGTCAGTAATAGATTTGCGTAGAAAATGAAGAATTTTCATGGCATTCAATTCAAAATTATGTCAAAAGTAATCCGGTTATCTATGCTCATGTTAATATCATTTTAAAGCTACCTATGTTCGTGATAATATCATTTTAAAGATAAGTTCAAGAAGATATGAAAAAACCGTTTTCTGAGAGACTGTTCCTTTATCTGAAATTGAAAAAAAAAACTCCCATACATGTATTTATAAAAAAAAAATTTTTTCTTTTTAAATTCAAAATGGCATAATCTATTTTCATTGAGTTTACCTAAAACTGAAGTCCTCGATACATCTTATTTTACCAAGCTATATTTAAGTAAAGGATCAGTAGAAGAATTTGTTTCTCAATTTTGAGGAATCTGTAGGCACCTATCATTTAGTATTTATACTTCTAGAATTTTTATATTCTATATTAATCCCCTTCCAAAATAAAATACGTATATTGGGTTGGAAGAATCCTTTTCTTTTGGGGAGTGGATCAGATAGTCAATAATTGTTTTACTTAAAAAAACCCATTACCCCCCCCCCCCCCTCCATAACCCAGAAACTAAGTAGAACTTTATAAATAGACTAAAAGGTATAATTTTTTAAAAATCTATAACGGAGGATTGGGAGGGGTGTTGCGACTTTGTAAAATCATACATGATTTATTCACATACATATGTATGGAATTAAATGTTTAAAAAATAATTTTGACGTAATCGATATTCCATAGAAACCCCCCTCTTTGTTCTAAATATATCTTGTTCATGCGCTGTGCGAGATAGTTCGAGAAAATCGTAGAAGAGTCACCTTGGTATATAAGCTACATCGTGGCGACGCAGTGAATTTTCGCATCAATTTATTAAGATGAGTCTAGCCATTATTTCAAGAGTTTGTCCCAGGGTCAGCCGAGGTGTCCAGGCTTTGGCCTGTAGAGGATTTGCTGACCGAAATATCCCAGTTCACCAACACAGTGCTAAGGACCACCAGCGCACAGCCCTAGAACCATGGAACGATTTTGTCCTGCCATCCAGAATTTTACCCGAGTCCTTCGCTAATCGTTTCCGAGATGTAGAGAAGATGATGCGAGACATGGAGAATTATCTGGAACATAAATATTTGTCTTTCCCAGCAAGAGGAGAGGAATCAAAGGTAGGCTAAATCTTTATTTCTCAATTTTCTGCTCAATTTGCTTGCATTTTCTATAATATGCTATAAATATATCAAAAATTATATTTGGCACCTTTTAGTTCGTTCTAAGCACGCTGCAATTTTTAAAGCTTGCAAAAATACACAAATTCGTTGAATGTAAGATTAAAGGCCTTTGACCTTAAATGACCCGGTTCGATCCACAAAGCGTAAACATGAAATTGAATTGCCTCCCTTTACATTTACAACTAAAGGTCGTGTAAGGTAAACAAGCTACTATAAATAAAACAAAACTGTGTTAGGGACAGGTGGCTTGTTCATTTTCACTAACAAAAATTCAGAATCGGGATTGCTTTGAGTTTTAATCACAAAATATGTGTATTACTGAACAAACAGAATTGTTGCTACCCCCCCTCCCCCCCCCCCCCCAACTGGATTTAATATCCGTAGGCCTATAACCTACTAACCAGTGTATTTGTCGATTTTTTCATATCTAAAGTAAATAAGCTAACAGACGCTTTACCCAAACTGGTTTGGTAATACACACAGTTGACATTCATGTTAAATGTCATGTATACATGTAGAAGTATTTTGCATTTTTAAAAAAAAACCTATTTTCTTTTTGTCAGGTTGAAATCAGTGATAAAAAACTCAAGATAAAGTTGAATGTTCATCAATTCAAACCCGAAGAAATAAACGTGAAAATCCAGGACAACAAATTGACCATTACTGGAAAGCATGAGAAGAAGTCGGAGGAGGGACACAGTTATTTCGCTCAGGAGTTCACACAACAATACACCATACCACAGGTATTAAAAAAAAATTAATGCATAAATTGCATCTGGTAAAAAATTGCCATGTGCTTGAAAAATTTTCAGATCTAAGAATTTCCTTTCCTTTTCTACTGAAGCATTGATATGAACTTGGTTGGACATTTTTGCATTGAAAGGGTTATAAACTGCTCTTAAAAGCCCCATTTAAATGTGATCAATAATCAATATATTAAAAGTGTTCTATTGCCAGAGATTTCTTTTTGTTGAAGATGGGAAATAGCCTGGTACATTTGTAATATGTAGATGTTCAAAATAATATTAACATGTTTTTAAGCAGCGGGTTGAAATATTATAATATTTTTTAAAAACAGGGAATTGACTCAGACAGTATCATCTCAACTTTCTCTGATGAGGGTGTGCTGGTGATCCAAGGAAAAGTGAAGGGAGGCGGATCACAAGAAATTCCCATTGACAGGAAGTAAACCGTAGATTGGGAAAAGGACAAAATCTCTACGCAGTGATAGGATGCAAAACATTATGACCAAGGGACTATTTTTTCACGATCCCTCCAGGCAAATAGCTGGACCAGGTTAAAAATTTTAACAAGTGTTGCGCTGTATATTTTGTTTTGTGATAAACTTTCAATAAAATTGAAAGTAGTGATGTAAATTTTGTTTACTGATTTAGTTTTTGAAAAAAAAAAACGTTTTGGATGATGCTCAGAATTGTCAATTGTTTGACATCTGTTCATATACGAGAACGTTTCATAGTAAATTCAGGATATGCATTGAAAAAACAAATTCTTGTGATATTTGTACAGATTAATGTTTCAAATTATTAACTAGTGTGATTAATTAAGTGGTTTGAACGTGATAGTACCTATTTTTATTCTAGTGTGTCGAGCGATAACAAATCTTTGAAAATGGATACAGTCAAAGAATTTCAGCAAAAGGTGCATTGTTATGGCACTATATTTTTTGCGCACTTTAGGGGAGAATTTCACCACTTTTTAGCATCGGTCAATCAACTACCTTTCACCCCTTAATTCCAGACACATTCTGTAGCCAGTATGTATATTTTAACCATCTCTTAATCATTTATTATAGTTGTCAATACAGGCAACAAACTTGCTTGAAGTGAATTTTCAGCAATCTAACATATAATTTTCATCAAGAGAGTTTATCACTTGTAGTGACGACTATAAACTATAAAGCGTACGTAGATGGATAAAATACCGTATAAGTGGAAATTTTAGCGAGACGCAAATTTAGCGATTTCTTCTTAAAAACTGGTGTTTTATTTTAGCGAGAAGTAATTTTAGCGATTTTAAAATGCTCACTTAAGAAGCTAGTACAAATAACACGCAATTTATTTTTAGCGATATCCAATTTTAGCGATCTCAGCATCCTCGCTAATAATGCCAAAATTAAATACTCGCTAAAATTTCTACTTATACGGTATACAGATTCAATAGACTTAAATAATGTGCCTAGAATTAGGGAGTGAAAGGTAGTTAAGGTCTTCAATCCCTAATAGGAAGAAATTCAATGAAATTGAAGACATAACAGATATGTAGGCATTGAATACTCGGTTTATTTAGACATACTTCCCATTTACTACTATAAGTATGTTTAGTGGGATGTGTCCTAATTCATGACCTTGAATTTTGGTAAGAGTTATCTCCCCTTTTTTTATTAATTAAAAAAAATCAAAAAAAATTTAGCTGGTAAAAAAATTGTTTTTAATTATCATTCTATTTATAATATTTCAATGCATCTTTCCACCACAGGATTTATTGATATTCAAATTATTTGAATTTTTATTTCGAAAAAAACGCTTTTCCCCATAGACTGCAATGCAATCTTTGTTAATTAACTACTGCTTAATTAATGAACTTTTTGAAAATTTCTCGTGGGCAATCCTTTTCCACTATAAAATGCTTTAATATAATAGAGTATTGTGTACTTGACGGACATTTAAGGGTAGAAAATTTGGTACCATTAGGGATTGATCTCCTTAAATGGGCGATGGTTGTTATGGTCATATGGGTATATAGGAATCACCTTGTCCGTCTGTCTGTGCAATCGTGTCCGGTCCATATCTTTCTACAGAGGGACATTAGAATCTACTACTCCACACAAAGATTGCCGATGACTCAAGGGTGTGTCATGACCTTCACCCAAGGTCATTTTGGGAAGTTCAAGGTCACTGGAAGAAAAATTTCATAATTCGTGTCCAGTCCAGTCCATATCTTTCTTATGGATAAACTTGGTATGTTCTCATTTCACAAAAAGATTGCCTATGACCCAAGGGTGTGTCATGACCTTGACCAAAGGTCAATTGGAGAAGTTCAAGGTCACTGGTAAAAAAAAAATTCATAATTCGTGTCCGGTCCATATCTTTCTTATGGATAACTTTGGTAGGTTCTCATTTCACACAAAGATTGCCCAGGACCCAAGGGTGTGTCATGACCTTGACCCAAGGTCATTTGGGGAAGTTCAAGGTCACTGGTAGAAAAATTTCATAATTCGTGTGCCGGTCCATATCTTTCTTATGGATAAACTTGGTAGGTTTTTATTTCACACAAAGATTGCCCATGACCCAAGGGTGTGTCATGACCTTGACTAAAGGTCATTTGGGAAAGTTCAAGGTCACTGGAAGAATTTTTTTTATAATACCTGTCTGGTCCATATCTTTCTTATGGATAAACTTGGTAGGTTCTCATTTCACTGAAAGATTGCCCATGACCCAAGGGTGTGTCATGACCTTGACCCAAGGTTATCTGGGGAAGTTCAAGGTCACTGGAATAAAAATTTCATAATTCGTTTTTGATACAAATCTTTATTATGGAAAAACTTATTTCTGAAAAACCTAGCGGGAGGGTATTTTGTCCCGTTTGGACAGTTCTAGTTATTATAGGTATTACATATTTTTTTATTTACTGAAAATTTCGGTAAAATTGATAGGTACGCAAACTCCTGTGATATATTATTCATTAGCTCGTACAAATAAAATAGTGCTTTTTGTGGTAACGCATGTTAGTGAATAGATCTCAGGCAACGAGTAAACTGATTTTAGAAAGAAAAGGAGGGGTCTCCTAAAATGACGATACAAGGAAATACACATATAATCCCTGCCAATTCTAAAACTGGTGATTCCTATGCCGTGAGGAAGATCGTTTCATCTTTCTTTTTGGTACACTTTCAATTTCATATTCCGGATCCCCACTAGCTGCAGATCTGTAGCTCTCCGAAAAAAATATTTTGACGGACTGGAGAGAAACAGTGCCACCATTGAAAAAAACTATATTTATTGCACACAAAAAGTGCGCTGTTTATCGATTTATTTCTCCATGTTTTCAAAACTATAATCTCTAATTATTACTAACTGTGTCTTCCAAGCATAATCTTTCACTGTTTTCACAACAAAACATACCTTATATACGCCGTTTAAAGCACTCCTGGCCCTGAAATCGAGATCATCGAAAATTTCATTTGTTTATATCGTCATTTTGGTTTGTAAGATAATTTGACCCAACCCGTTTCGTGTAGGTTTATCAATACATTTTCGAAGAGCTACAGTTCTGCAGCTAGATCCCAACATACCCCCTGATTTCCAATGTTACCCTATACTCCATATGTGGTATTTGTATGATGTATATCACAGTTGCGTATGTCAAAATAAATTGAAAAAAGAAAAATTGAAAAAAGCAAGCAACAAGTAATTGAGTTGGGATCAGGTGGCATGGAGGAGTGAAAATCCCCCGCCAGAACTTATATGTACCTCTTGTAATGAATGAAAGTTGAATCATGGGCATTAAAAAAATACCAAGCAGACTTAAAAGTTTTTGACTTGCCGAATTAAAACAGAATGGTGAAAGTAATCTAATATGATTATCTGTTCGGAATAGAAAACTTGAAGTTCAAGAGTATAATCGGTACGTGACGCAATATACTGGTACCTCAAAGATATATATATATATATAGCTATAACCTAAAAATAATCAATTGTTAGCTTTTTTCAAGGATTTTCACAGTATATTTGGTAGATTTGTAACATCCTGATGATATAGAGTTTGATATAACAATGCAGTAAAAACCAAATTGACGGAATCGGCATATAAACATTTTACTGCAAAAATATCTAAGGTATGCATTGAAATAGAAATCTAAATTTACCTGTACTGTAAAACATCGAAAAAGAAAAAAAAAGTTGCACAAAAAATTCCAAACTCAATGCTTTTTTTATAGTATCAGATGTGTTTGATTGACAGGGGATGCTTACTCCTCAATAGCACTTGATCCAACCTCTGATCTTTTTTATAAGTCTAATGTTTGCTCTTCTCATGATTGTATTGTTTGAATGGACTATGAGCTCGAATACTGTTTGAATCATTATCTCAGATTTTACTCAAATGTAATGTAATTGACATTGTGGAATTCCATTTTATTATTTTAAGTTTTTTTAAAGACTTCATTTAAACATTTAATTATCTACAAATTTTTCCGTTTTTCTGATCATTACAAGGAGCACACGACAGTTGTGACCGGTCGACAAGGAATTCTTACTCATCCATTGTACCTGATCCTACTTCTGATATGTTTAGGGGCCCGTGTTTGCTTCATTATCGGTTTATATTTCTAAATTGACCTTTGATTTATTTATTTTTTTTTTTTTTTTTTAATTTTTACTGATTTATTTTTATTATCTGCAAACATGTATTTCATTTGGGTGACTAGTAAATCAGTGGTCCCGGGTTCGATTCTAAGCCCAAGCCATACCTTTCCTTTCCTGTTACATTTGGTGCACTGATCTGGATTGTGGAATGTTGATAGGAGTTTTCGGCCTTAGAGGTTAAAATTTGGAAATAATGAATATTGATCAATGTGTCATTAATGCAGCAAACAAAAAGTAAAGAAAGAAGTGCGATCGGGTACCTATTTAAACAAAATGTGTTTGTGAAACACTATGCGCCCGGCGTCAACAGAGTTCGAAAAAGCTATTTTTAGCATTTATAGGTCACAGTCAAGGTCACAAGGTCATTGATCTTGATGTCATTTGAAAGAACTTTATTAGAGGAGTATGCATACCAAATATGAAGTCTCTATCTCTTATGGTTCAAAAGTTTTGGTGAAGGTTAAAGTTGACAACAGACAGACAGACAAACAGACAGGACAAAAACAATATTCACCCCGGATCTATTGATCCGGGCGCATAAAAAGCATCCTGACGACAGAACACAAACACCACTAGCCCTATGTATTGATCAGTATGTATTTTTTGAAAATGCTTCAAAGGTGATTGTCAGACTTTTATTCCATTAATTGGGGATAGCTAATGGATTTTGGTGTATTTCTTTACATAAAATTTTTGGTTGCAAAGTGGTGCAGTGATAAGAACATCTGCTCTAAGAGTCGCGTAGTAAATAGTTGTTCCTAACGTCACAGGTTCGAATCTCACTGTGGGACGTAACAAGAGACCCAGGGTCCACATCGCTCACCTGAGCACATCGGTTTGGAGAATTGAAAAGTTTACTGAGGGGGTTGGGTGGGGGTGGGGGAGGGGGATTGAACTCTAATACTACTTGAGAATGCTTCCATATCAATTCTGCATATAACTTTGAACAAGAAAGTTCTTGAGAAAAAGGTTTTTATAGATTTCTTTAACAATTTGTATGTACCTTTATTACTTTGTAATAATTTGAATTTGACTCCCCATCATTTTCCTCCCTACCCCAAAGGGTATCAATGATCTGAAGAAATAAATTTAATGCAAATCTTCAATACATGAGGATGCTTACATGTCAATGTGACATAGCCTTTCTGTTATTGAGATTTTTCCATTTATTTTCCTATGTAAAACTCTGAACCACCATTGAGACCCTTCCTTATACCCATGGAGGTTATGATGTGAAAAAATTTAATTCTATATTTAATACCTGAGGATGGTTCCATATGAATATCACTAATATAGCTTTGCTATTCTTTAGAAAAATATTTTTATAAATTTATTTTAATGTAAAACTTGGATCCCCTATTGTGGCCCCACCCTATCCCTAGGGGGTTATGATTTGAACAAACAAGAATCTACAGTATCTTAAGATGCTTCCATATAAAAATATCACTAATCATGGCTTTGCAGTTCTTGTGAAAATTTTTAAAGATTTCCCTCTATATTCCTAAGTAAAAACTTTGATCAGCAATTGTGGCCCATCCCTATCCTTGGGGGTCATGATTTGAACAAACTTGAATGTACACTATCTGAGGATGATGCAACATGTCAGATTCATTTTTCCTGTCCTCATGGTTCATGAAAGGAAGATTTTTACCAATTTTTCCTATATATTCCTATGTAAAACTTTGATTGGCCATTGTGGCCCCGCTCTACCCCCAAGGGGCCATGATTTGAACAAACTTGAATGTACACTACCTGAGGCTGAGCCTTGAAAAAACTTGAATGTACACTACCTGAGGCTGAGCCTTGAAAAAACTTGAATGTACACTACCTGAGGCTGAGCCTTTGGCTCAGGTGAGCTAAAAATGTTAGAATTTTTTTCGTATAGATTTGTATAGTTACAAATTTTTAAAGGTAAAACAAATTAAGTTGCATATGAAAATAATGATTTAATTGCATTCATTTCAGCAAAACACTGCTAGATTATTGAAGATACCATTTGCTAGAAATTGTTTGACAAGATAATTGATGCATTGTACATACCGTATGAACTGATATTTTACAATGATTTTTAAAAAGTGGTCATTTGAGTGTTCATTAAATTAGCATAGCACACACATTCAGTAATGCATTGTACATATAAACACCAAAACTTCTCCTCTGCTTTTTAAGGGCTTGGAACCTTCTGCTTGAAATAACAATTAATTGTTAATTCAAGCAGGCAGCATTAAAAGTTTTGTGCTTTTTTTCAGTTATTTTCTTTCTATCTCATTTTTTTCTGTTTTTTTTTCTCTTTTTCTGTTTTTTTTTTTGCTTCTTTTTTTCTCTCTTTTTTTATTTTTTATATTTCACATATATATTTTTTTTTCATTTTTTTTTTGTTTTGTTTTGTTTTTTTTTTCTTTTTAATTTTTTTGCTTGTTTTTTTTTCTTTCATTCTTTTTTCTTTTTTTTTTCAGCACAAAACTTGCCAATGAGATTAAAATAATTTCACATTTACAATTCAAAATTCCACACTAAAATTCACAAATTGACAAATCAACAATTCACAATTGCATTAAAATATATCACAATTTAACATTTTTAGAGGCAAATCACTATATATCACTTTTAAATACAATATTATATATATTTCTTTCTGAATATCTATCAAAGAAGTATATTGACTTATTGAGGGATTCAATTTCACAATAAACTATAATAACTAAAAGGTGACTTATTTACAAATTATTCTTTCTACAACAGCTGACAGAATTTACACATTCTATGAATACTTATGTCATATTTAACAATCATTACATCTGGAACATATTTAACTTCATCAAAACAATTACAATAATGAACCATAGTATCTCATTGGCATAATAATAAAAAGACAAAGCAGCTTCCAACTAGTCCCTTTCAGCTTCTCCTCCCCAGGCCAGCCTGGCAGCCGTGGCGGTGAAGGAACTTAAGTTCCAACCAGTAATGCCCCAGGGTATCGTAAAAACCTACTTACAACTAGCCTTCAACTACTTCATCTTAACAATATGAATATATAGCTAATGAAGAAGAAAGAGAAAGCTGGGGTCAGTGTGGGAGGAAGACGGAGTACCCGTAGAGAACCCACGTGTCCGAATGGGCGACCCCATACCCTGACATAATTCGGACACCCTTTACATAAATTTATATTTTTAAAATAGTCTTTGAAAAAAACATTGTTACTAAAGTGGATTTTCATCAGTGCTTTAAAGGTGTGGATTTATCATTAATTAAAATTCCTGCTTCTTCATCCACACACGTGATCTCAAAGATGTTCCTTCTAAAAGTTCCTTTGATTCTCTGTAAATGAACAAGGCAAGAGGTAATTGTCAGGTTTAAATAAAATAAATTAAGAAGAGACCTATATGCTACATTGCTAACCTGAGCTCTAAGGCTAAGAAAAAGCAAAAATCAATACAGTATTGTAGATCACCATATTTTCACAACACCTTAGTTTAGTGACTTAGCTATTTGGCATTAAGTAGTGAAACAACATTTTTGATAGCTGTTGTTTCTGTTGTATATAATACACAAGAATAAATTTTCTGCCAGCAGACAGCCCCTCTTGAGAAATTTTCACTCATATAGCAATGCAACATTTTTCAGGGAAGGGCTACAAATGTAGACCTATACTTGGTATTAAGGCTATAGAGCAGTGAGGGAATTTTTCTTTTGCACCTACTGCAACATGGCACCACAGTTTATATGAGCTCAGTGAAAGACTGGTCTTCTTGTCCCACAGTGGGATTCGAACCCACAACAGTAGGATCAACTTCTTTATACTATGCTACTCTGTAGCAGATTTTTTAAATACCACTGTACCATGCAACAGCAACACAAAATGTGAAAGAAGATGGGAGAACAAGGTGGGCAGAATGCCCCTAGCATCAGATATTAAAACATTGTATTCAATTTGTGAAATGAGTATTTACCTTGACCTTGCTTAATATGAAAAATAAGATGATTTGGAATATGATAATGTCATATACCTAATCAGTATCAGCTATTCACTGTGGTATGTCTTGGTGAAAAAGTCAACATCCATCAGGCATAAATTGTCCTCCAAGTGTTTCCACCAAGTCTTGTTGGGAACATCTACATTTTAAAGATCATTGTCCATCAAGCTTGTCTGTGTTTATTGTTTCCACCAATTCCTTTTGGGTGTAGCTGATGTTTTCACATATTGGATAATCATTGTCAATCAAGTTTGCCTCAAGATTCATAATGGCTTGCCTCCTCAAAATTTATTTCACCAAGTATTTTTAGAAGTATTTGCTGTTTTCTCATCTTTCCACCAATTCCTTTTGGGTGTAGCTGGTGTTTTCACATATTGGATTATCATTGTCCCTTTTGGGTGAAGCTGGTGTTTTCACATATTGGATTATCATTGTCCATCAAGTATGCCTCAAGATTCATAATGGCCTTGCCTCCTCAAGATTTATTTCACCAAGTCTTTTTAGAAGTATTTGCTGTTTTCCTATCTTTCCACAAATTCCTTTTGGGTGTAGCTGGTGTTTTCACATATTGGATAATCATTGTCCATCAAGTTTGCCGTAATATTAGTAATGGCCTTGCCTCCTCAAGATTTATTTCACCAAGTCTTTTTAGAAGTATTTGCTGTTTTCCCATCTTTCCATCAATTCCTTTTGGGTGTAGCTGGTGTTTTCACATATTGGATAATCATTGTCTATCAAGTTTGCTGCAATATTAATAATGGCCTTGCCTCCTCAAGATTTATTTCATCAAGTCTTTTCAGAAGTATTTGCTGTTTTCCCATTTTTCCACCAATTCCTTTTGGGTGTAGCTGGTGTTTTCACATATTGGATTATCATTGTCCATCAAGTTTGCCGCAATATTAATAATGGTGTTGCCTTCTCAAGATTTATTTCACTAAGTCTTTTTAGAAGTATTTGCTGTTTTCTAATCTTTCCACCAATTCCTTTTGGGTGTAGCTGGTGTTTTCGCATATTGGAAAATCATTGTTTTCCCATCTTAAAAGAGGTTCATCAAGCTTGTCTATTCCAGTTGTTTCCACAAGTTTCTGTTGGCTGCAGCTGCAGTAAAAGTCAAGAAAATAATTGGAGAAAATACATCACTGAAGTTTTTAAGGAAAATCCTCAATTAATTTTTTAAATAATAGTTATGTTGTCTCAATAGTGGTTTAACATATATGTTTTATATTATTAAGCAAACATTCAATATTGGTGTAAAGAGTTGGTTTATCTAGCTGAACATCTTGCAAAAGTTAGGTATTGCTGACTTTAAGAAACAAGATCAGCTAAAATCTTACCCAGCTAGTTAATTTGACTTTGTTAATAAACTGATCTTAGATTAAGATAATGTCACAAACCTGATAAATGTCAGATCAGCATCCTTTGGCTATTCATCATCCAGTTGTTTCTATCAGGTTCTTTTGGGTTCATCTACTGTTTTCACCATGTACTGTTGGGTGCATTTGCTGTTTCCACATCTTGGAAGATCAGCAAGTAATGGTTATGCATCATCCAGTTGTTTCCATCAGTGTCCAGTTAGGTGCATCTGCTGTTACACAGGTCTTGTTCAGGACATCTTCTGTTTCCACATCTTGGAAGATTAGCATCCATTGGCCCTGCCTCCTCCAGCTGTGTCCACCATGTCATGCCCTTGTTTACAATTGCAAGCTTTTATTCGTGTCTGACCAGTAGAGCTAAAAATAAGCCAGGCTAAAAATAATAAGTCAGCTAGTAAATTGACATGGTTAATTAAATGATCTTTAATCATGATTTTCTCATATACATGTACCTGATCAGTGTCAATAATCTCCTTAGATATGTCTTGTTTGGAAGGTCAACATCATCAGGCAAGTCTCTTCCAGTTGTATCCATCATGTCCTGTTGGGTCCATCTTCTGTATCCACCAAGTCCAGTTGGGTGCATCTGCTGTTTCCACAAAGTCCAAGAAGTGCATCTACTGTTTCCAGCATGTCCTGTAATGGGTCCATTTACTGTCTCCAACATGGCCAGTAGGGTACATCTGCTGTCTCACCAAATCCAGTGGTGTGCATCTTCTGTATACATTAAGTCCTTTTGGATGCATCTGCTGAATCCACCAAGTCAAGTGGAGCGCATCTGCTGTTTCCTCAAGGACAGTAGGTTGCATCTGCTAAAAATATCAACAGCTTTATTTCACTGCATCTAAGATTCCATTTCCTTAATTTTTTAGATGTACATAACTTTTATTCTGTTTCTTAAATTGTTGGTCTTTAATTTGTTTAAAATGAACGCATAATAAAGGTGACCATTTAATAAAGTTTTATAGGATATTTCATTGAAAAAATTAAATGACCACCTAAGAAAGATCTATGCTGATATAAAAAAGATTACTATGAAATTTGGCTGTATATTATTGATTTGAATGGAATATCATAAATCTATAAACCAACAACAGTACTTCATTTAAGTTTTCTATATCGAGCAAAACTCATTTAGTAGGAACACAGATATTGCCAAATCACAGTTAAGCGAAGTTATCTTGGATCTCCCTGCTTAACAAATTTAACGAATTCCTTATATGGATATAACGATTCATGGATATAGTGATTTTATAGTTCCAGTGACTTCATTTTAACTGAGTTTTACTGTATTTTTCAATTATTATCAATTCAATATTTTCTATCTTACCTTATCAATGATGGTTTAGAATTTGGCTTAATTCTCTTCATCTTTAGTGAACAATGTCCAACTATAAAATACTAACAAAATTTTAAAATACAGAGCTGAAATAATAGATACAGTAAAACTTGTTTGGTACAAACACAAATATTGTGAATTCAAATGCATACAAAGTGAAATTATCTTGAATCCCTAGCTATAAAAATTTTATGAAATTATTTCACAGATACATGTATAACAAATTATGGATATAGCGAAATTATGTCTTAGGTTCCAGCAAATTTGTTTAAACCAAGTTTTACTGTAATATAAGGCCCTTAATAAGAAAGACGTTTTGTGTGAAACACAGTTTCATTATTATCCAACATGTCTAATGTTGATGCCAATGCACAACGCAACAATGAACATTAGACACATTCTTAGGAATAATAAATGCAATAACAAATAAAGCTCGAAACAATAATAATTAACATAAATTCAAAACTATCATAACAAATACCGGTATCTAAAAATCTCAACTAAAGCAAATAACTTAAACTCATAACTATAACAAATAACTTATAACAACTTAATAAAACTCATAACAATAACAACTAACTAACACTAATAACAATAACAAATAATTAAAAATCACAACAAAAGCAAATAACTTAAGCTCCTTACAAGTAAAACTCAAGACTGCCTCAATAATAAATAACTGAAACTCATAACAATGTCAACTTTTAAAAACTTTAAAATCATAATGTATCAATTAACAAATAAAACATGAAAATTAACAACTTTTACAACCCTCATAAACAAAAAACTATAACAACGACTCAATAAACAAATAACAATAATATAAACCTGATAAACAAATAACAACAAATACTAACAAAGGAAACAAAATAGAAATAAAAAAGTAAGAACTAAAATAACAGAGACCTAACATCAAAATAATACAAAAAAAACCCTCCAGTCCAGCGTTGTTGGCATGCTGTTCCAATATGCCCAGCCTCCTCCTAGTCCTCCAACGATGAAGAGCCTGCCGCCTCCAACTGCACCATGTCCAACGATGATATCCCGGCAAAGAGAGAACAGAGAAGATTAGACAAAGAAAAAACAACAGAACAAAAAACAAAAGGAAATAACTACTACAAAATATGTGTTGAGATTGGGGAGGGAAGGGAAATGTTAGTACTAATTAGTAAGAATGCACAAATGATAATGAAACCAACTCACCTTTGCTTTTCCTTAACAACTAAGCAATACCTCTACTCCAGCGTTGTCGGCATGCTGTTCCAATATGCCCAGCCTCCTCCTAGTCCTCCAACGATGAAGAGCCTGCCGCCTCCAACTGCACCATTTCCAACGATGATATCCCGGCAAAGAGAGAACAGAGAAGATTAGACAAAGAAAACACAACAGAACAAAAAACAAAAGGAAACAACTACTAATAAATATGTGTTGAGAGTGAGGGAGTGGAGGGAAATGTTAGTACTAATTAGTAAGAATGCACAAATGATAATGAAACCAACTCACCTTTGCTTTTCCTTAACAACTAAGCAATACCTCTACTCCAGCGTTGTTGGCATGCTGTTCCAATATGCCCAGCCTCCTCCTAGTCCTCCAACGATGAAGAGCCTGCCGCCTCCAACTGCACCATATCCAACGATGATATCCCGGCAAAGAGAGAACAGAGAAGATTAAACAAAGAAAAAACAACAGAACAAAAAACAAAAGGAAATAACTACTACAAAATATGTGTTGAGAGTGGGGGAGGGGAGGGAAATGTTAGTACTAATTAGTAAGAATGCACAAATGATAATGAAACCAACTCACCTTTGCTTTTCCTTAACAACTAAGCAATACCTCTACTCCAGCGTTGTTGGCATGCTGTTCCAATTCGCCCAGCCTCCTCCTAGTCCTCCAACGATGAAGAGCCTGCCGCCTCCAACTGCACCATGTCCAACGATGATATCCCGGCAAAGAGAGAACAGAGAAGATTAGACAAAGAAAAAACAACAGAACAGAAAACAAAAGGAAATTACCAACTCAAAATATGTGTTGAGAATGGGGGAGGGGAGGGAAATGTTAGTACTAATTAGTAAGAATGCACAAATGATAATGAAACCAACTCACCTTTGCTTTTCCTTAACAACTAAGCAATACCTCTACTCCAGCGTTGTTGGCATGCTGTTCCAATATGCCCAGCCTCCTCCTAGTCCTCCAACGATGAAGAGCCTGCCGCCTCCAACTGCACCATGTCCAACGATGATATCCCGGCAAAGAGAGAACAGAGAAGATTAGACAAAGAAAAAAACAGCAGAACAGAAAACAAAAGGAAATTACCAACTCAAAATATGTGTTGAGAGTGGGGGAGGGGAGGGAAATGTTAGTACTAATTAGTAAGAATGCACAAATGATAATGAAACCAACTCACCTTTGCTTTTCCTTAACAACTAAGCAATACCTCTACTCCAGCGTTGTTGGCATGCTGTTCCAATTCGCCCAGCCTCCTCCTAGTCCTCCAACGATGAAGAGCCTGCTGTCGCCAACTGCACCATGTCCAACGATGATATCCCGGCAAAGAGAGAACAGACAAGATTAGAAAAAGAAAAAACAACAGAACAGAAAACAAAAGGAAATTACCAACTCAAAATATGTGTTGAGATTTGGGGAGGGAAGGGAAATGTTAGTACTAATTAGTAAGAATGCACAAATGATAATGAAACCAACTCACCTTTGCTTTTCCTTAACAACTAAGCAATACCTCACCTCCAGCGTTGTTGGCATGCTGTTCCAATTCGCCCAGCCTCCTCCTAGTCCTCCAACGATGAAGAGCCTGCCGCCTCCAACTGCACCATGTCCAACGATGATATCCCGGCAAAGAGAGAACAGACAAGATTAGACAAAGAAAAAACAACAGAACAGAAAACAAAAGGAAATTACCAACTCAAAATATGTGTTGAGAGTGGGGGAGGGGAGGGAAATGTTAGTACTAATTAGTAAGAATGCACAAATGATAATGAAACCAACTCACCTTTGCTTTTCCTTAACAACTAAGCAATACCTCTACTCCAGCGTTGTTGGCATGCTGTTCCAATTCGCCCAGCCTCCTCCTAGTCCTCCAACGATGAAGAGCCTGCTGTCGCCAACTGCACCATGTCCAACGATGATATCCCGGCAAAGAGAGAACAGACAAGATTAGAAAAAGAAAAAACAACAGAACAGAAAACAAAAGGAAATTACCAACTCAAAATATGTGTTGAGAGTGGGGGAGGGGAGGGAAATGTTAGTACTAATTAGTAAGAATGCACAAATGGTAATGAAACCAACTCACCTTTGCTTTTCCTTAACAACTAAGCAATACCTCTACTCCAGCGTTGTTGGCATGCTGTTCCAATTCGCCCAGCCTCCTCCTAGTCCTCCAACGATGAAGAGCTTGCCTGAGAAGAAGATTTTCAAAGATTTTTCCTATATATTTCTATATAAAACTTTGATTCCCCATTGTGGCTGTCGCCAACTGCACCATGTCCAACGATGATATCCCGGCAAAGAGAGAACAGACAAGATTAGAAAAAGAAAAAACAACAGAACAGAAAACAAAAGGAAATTACCAACTCAAAATATGTGTTGAGAGTGGGGGAGGGGAGGGAAATGTTAGTACTAATTAGTAAGAGTGCACAAATGATCATGAAACTAACTCACCTCTGTTTTTCCTTAATGACTTAGCAATACCTCCAGTCCAGCGTTGTTGGCATGCTGTTCCAATCAAATTATGCCCAGCCTCCTCCAAGTCCTTGTAACACCATCTCCAACGATGAAGTCTCTGCAAAGAGAGAACAAAGAAATCCATTGCAGCATTTTTGGCAAACTCTGAGTTCATGTTATTATGTCTAATGTTAAAGACTCTCTATCCCTAGAAATTGAACTTGTTAGACTGAAGGCTACTGAAATTTATACATCTTTGCTAGCCAAGGCTTTTTGATAAGCTCCTCTCCTCATAAACCCTTGGCATATGGTGAAGTCAAAAGACAGGATTGTTTTCCGTCATGTGATCTCAAATCTATCAGGTACGCACAGATTGCGCCATTGCCAGAAATAAAGACACGTGTTAAAAAGAATTACATCAGAGTTTTTTCAAGAATAATTAAGAAGCATTAATTGAGTTATGTATTTTCATTATTTATAGAACAAATCTGAAGCTTCAATATAGATTCTTAATCACATATGAAGAAGATATTGGATGACACCATGGCTATTCATAGAATTGAATGTTATCTTACGGATCTCTTTTCATTTCCGAGGTTAAAGAGTGAAGATGTATCCCAAACACAAAGTAAACTTCGTTATCTCGACATTGACGGTACCGTCGGAAAATGTTGAGATATTCCAAGTGTCAAGATATCAGAGTTGAGACTCGACGTCCTTAAATTTACTGCATAGTAAAACATAGACCTAAACTGAACAGACTTGTAACTACAGGTACCTAATACATGTTTTCAATTAGATTGTAGCTCGTTTGTTTCACCTATCCCTCTTTATTAATCCACATTATTTATTAAATGCCTTCCTATTTATCGAAATCTAATGTCATTTTACTAAAAACCGTGCCTCTTAGCTCTGTCAAAACAGGACACGAAATACGCTCTATAAACTCCAAACTGGAACGTACGGTACAATGTCGACTTCCGAGATAAGTCTGAAGAAAATATGGATGTGTATATTTTTAAAATTATTTCATTTCACCTCTATTTTACTTCATTATCATTCATTAATTAAATTTTCATCTAAATTTAAAACCAAATTTAACCGGAATTGCTCACATAACAAACTTAATGATGTTACATAAGCATCCATGAGTATTACTGCTGATGCAATAGTCGTGCACAATTGGTGCATGTCGTAGATTTGATTGTCTTAATTAATGATTGATTCCTGTTGAATGCATTTTGACCATAATTTGTAAGTTAATTTTATTGTTCATTGTTATTCAGTTGCTTTTCCTTTTACAAAAGATTTCGCATAAATAAACAGTTTTACATTTACGCAGAATCAAGATTTATCAATGATATTACCCAAGCTGAACATTAAACAATTAACGTCTCAGAGACGCCGAGGGGGCTTTGGATGGTTGGGATTCCTTTACAAACACATTCCTACAGAGCAGTATGTAGTCAAAACATGGGTGTGAAAGGTGTGAATTTCTGCCAATGTCAAGGTACACGGAGTTGTCCGTGCGTGACGAGCGACCAGCTGACAAACAATTAGGTTAAGTAGAGCAGAAAATTGCCCCGATGTCGACATATACCAGGTAAATTTTGCTCTTGGGACTTTGAAATACGTCGAGATAAGCAGGGTAGTCGACATTACCGAGGTCGACATATCAGAGTTTTTGCACGTCATTTATATGGTAAATAATGCCGGGACCGCGGACGGACGTCGACATATCCCAGGTTGTCGACATATCCGATGTCGAGATACCGAAGTTTACCTGTATTGTCATTTACAAAAAACAATT